AATAAAGAACCGATGAGATTTTGCAAATTTTATGCGTTTTTTTTTTTAAAAAAGTTATCAAGCTCTTAAAAAATCACCCGATAGAAATAGAATTACTAAAAACTCAAATATTGTTAAGTACCTAGCATGCAAGCGTTCGCTCATTGGGCCATCTTTGCTAATTAATGTTGTCAAGGCACTCATACTTTCCGTCATCAATTACGCTCTTGTAATATATGGGTATCATCCAAAAGTCACCTAAAATTATTGGCTGCACCATCACTCCGCTGTTAGAAGAGCGCTTCGAGCATTCCCCACGTCACCAATCAAAAATGTATTAGCAGAGTCCGGTCTTCCCTCTCTCATAGACAATATGGAAGACACTACATACAAATTATACCCGAAGATCATCCTTGGTTCTAACCTTGTGCTTCAAGATGCCTTTTCTTCATTATCATCACGTATCTGACCTCCAAAAATTGAGTCAGCTATATATAAATGCACCATTTTCGCCAAAACAAACAGCTTGCAATTAAACCCTGCTAAACTTCCTAAACGTCAGCCAGATGTGATACGTCTTATCTGTGTGCGCACATTTGAAAAACTGCGGTCAGTGTTGCTTGTTTTTCATTCACAATAGATTAAAATTGGTCATTTTTAAAAATGGTGCTTCAGGAAATACAGATAATTCCGATTAATGTTGCTAATCCGAATTAACGCTGCTATTTGTCGATGCTATTAACCAAACATATTATGTGGCAAATAGTGCTGAATTAAATTAAATTTAAAATATTTATAATCAAAAATTAGTTAATAATTAAAATTTCAATACCACTTATAAAAAATGTTAAGCAATGAAAATTAAATAAATTTGTGAAATTTAAAGGTATTTAATGAAATATTTTGTAATTTGAAGCACCATAGTATTATTTTCAATGGAAAATGATTAAAAACATTTAATGATTGAGAGCCATCAAGCTTAAACCCTTTTATTGGGTATTGAAAGGTCAAAAGTCAGTTGTTCTAATATACTTCAAATAGTTTCTCATATAATAAATAACCACTGTAGAGTAATTTTTATTCGTACTAAATGGTTTTTTAATTTAAAATACCCAAAAATTCTTATTTTGTTCGATCTGGCCATAATGGAAAATGTTATAAACAACGCTTATTTTGAAGCGCTCTCACACTGGGATAAGTTGAACATCCCTTTATTCCTGCTGATACTTTCGATCTCTGACTAGATGGTTCTTAACGATCACTCCGTTCCTGATCATACGTATACTAGCTTTAGTGTGGAATAGTAAATCCATTTAGTAAACCTTTTAGGATTTCCAGAAATACTTCAGTTGAAAGTTCAGTTGCCCTATGAAAACTCAGAAAGGCAATAAACTAAGGACATTGGAACTATCCGATACCAGATCATCAAGGAAGCGTTTTGTGAAAGCCTAAAAGGGTTTTATAAAACCTCAAGGTTTATGTGCTATTCTCGTGAAACCCCTACTTCTATAGGTTATCTTAGAAAAGAGGATAGTGAATATGCCATTACAGGCACAAGGACACACAGATATTAGAAGTACTGTTAGAATTTCATTAGGTCCACTGACATATTGAACGATTTATATGGTATAAAGTCAACCAGATCTCCAACGTTTTTATAATAGGGTTAGGAAAATAATTTTCTGATTTTACCTATTCTGATATCTCTATTAGTGCTTGATTTGTATACTGTAAAGAGAAAGAATCAGATGATATTTAGAACTGTGGGAAGACAGGCTGTAGTTTAATTTCTAGTTAGTTAGTTAAGAGAACAAAACCCTGCAGCAACATGTTTCGGAAGTATAAAAACAGTAAACTTCCTATTCCCAATAGTAGAAAACAACAGATTCGTATTTCTTTTATAATCATTCGACAAAGTTTTCCGAAGCCATTCACTGGAAAATATTAAAATTATACTTGAATTTTTTTTTTTTTGAAAATTTATTTGCAATATTTTTCTCCGCTAACCATCCATCTTGTTCAACTCGTCAGAATCAAGGAGTGTCACGAAAAAACAATAAAACGAATATGTGGGAGGAGCTCGCTAGCTATAAAAATCATTTCCTCCAACTTGAGGTGAAGCACATGAAGAGAGAAACTATAAACAATTTCGTTACAAAAGAATACGAAAAGGTGCAATCAAAACGTTGTAGTTGTAAGTGTCCAAACGAAAATAACTGCTCAAGTTCGACCTATTTTCGTGATCATGCCACATTGGCATATGGCTTTCAATGTATTGAAAAATTGACTCACGATATATGTAGTGATGATTCGCTGTTGAGATGGCAAGGTATAAATTCATTAACCGAGGTAATACTCAATCCGTGGCAAGCGCAACGTGCCATCATGCAATTCGATTTGGTGAGAAAGTACGTGAGCACATATGTGATGAGTGATAAACTATTTATCAATCATGCGTTTTAAGGTGTAAAAATATGTTCTTTCGCATACAATACGGATACCTCAAGGAATTCTACAATGAACACAGACAATTAATGAAAATATTTTGTAACTATTGACAGGATAGCTTTAAGCTTAAAATGTCTTTTAACTACTTGAACTTTTCTCAGACTTAGTTTCGAGCTATCTAAATGGTGCCCATGCCATTGTTGGGCGTTTACATTTGGTTGAAGAATTCTACTCTATTATTTATAATGATGGGAGTACACGTTATCTGGCTTGCAAGATTCTACGCAACTTGACGGAAAAAACGGAGAGTATGTAGTATTTTCGATTTATATTTTGTGTGCGATTACCGCTACTTTCAATCTCCTTTTGTTCCTCTAACTGCAGTATTGCTTTTTCTCCTTAATGAAACGTCATCATTTCAAAATCTCTCAACCATTTTCAATGCTGACCCATGTACGCCCTTCTACCCCAATGCATTGTGGGAGCACCTTTGTCATTTTTTAGAGATCGCGCCGAAATTGGCTATAAAATCGGGTTTCTTTGAATTATTATATGAACGCATAAAGAATAAAACGCTCTTCTATCATGAGCTCTGCATGAAGTGCTTTGCCATGCTCTTACGTTGTGAGGAGGGTCAGCAGTGCTTCGATAAGATTGATGGCGTGAAATTGTTGTATGACATAATCGCAGATGAGCGAATAAAGTTGGATAACTATGAATATGTGATGTTGGCTTTGCAGCACGGTCTAGTGAGCAATCTTTCTCTGTGGCGTTGTCGTGAGTTTACCGATCTGCCGAACCGTATTATCGACTTAGCCAAGTTGGATAATAGAAATTTGCAATTGGAATGCTTCAAGGTAAGTTGATGTTGTCTATATTGCGCACGAATTTCTTATGAAATCTCATATTGATTACTGTTATGGCGGCAATTTAAAAACACTCCGATCCCCATAACCATATCGTGCTCGGCAAAACCTTAGCACTTTTTTCCTGCCTTTTAGTTTTTCTTCCTAATTGCTTTTATTTATTTTCTAGTGTCTTCGTCTCCTATCCGCCATGCCATGCGTAAAGGCTTACATACTGCATGGCTGTATGTCCGATTTGATGTCGATCGAGTGTTTGAATGAACAGAATGAGTGCACTCGTGATTTGTTAACTGAATGGCTTAATCGTGACATTTGTGATTCGAGTGAAATGTAATTTTTTTAAATTTAGTTTGCAGTTTTTAAATTCAGCAATGTTTTTAAAACTAATTTTGAATAAAAAAACGTTTTTAATAACATGTTAGGAATGTTACTTTACTGTCTTCAATGCATTATTCGAAATAAGAGTCTGATTTAGAGCTTAAAAGATAGATCTTCGCAAAAGATGTGACCATTATTAATTAAATTTTTCCTACTATTCTATATATATAATAGAAATGATATGAGGCTTACACTTCGACCTAGTGTCCATTGCGCCTTATCCTCTATAACATGTATTCTCAAAGGCCCAACACTCTGACGAATTTCATGAAATTGCTGGGCGTTATTGAGGTTATGTGATCCCTATCCGGATAAATGGATTCATAGGCCTTGAGATTGCGTCTACAAATCGCAACAAGATGTGCTGGAGTTTCCGGTTCCATGTCGCGAGTCCGGCAGTTTACACCAGAAACCATGCCAATGTTGGACAGGTGTTTCTTGAGTCTGCAGTGCAAATTTAGAACGCGACAAGAAGACGAAATTTGTCTCTAGACAGGTTAATCATATCTTTGAACCTTGCACCTTTTAATTTCCCAATACCGGCTTATTTTATATATGTTTTAGATATGATTATCATCTGTTCCCGTGGTTAAAGTGATTATTTCCTTACTTGTTCATACCTATGTCAAAAATGTTCATTTTTTTTCTTGACTTATCTGATTTCCTTTTACTCTTGTAGTTAGCTGAACATATTCTCTTAAGAACATATCGGCACAAAGAATATTTTAGGCTTTAATAATAATCCCAATATTTTTTTATTTATTCAATTTACATACAAACATTTATTAGTGTCTTTCGAATTAGTTAACAAGAATTAAAAAAAAAAAACAAATATTTATAAAAAATGAAATAATTCCACGCTCTTGAGTTCGTCAATAAACGATTGTACACATACAAATCAGCGCGAAAAGTGAATTCCCGGTCATTCATCACATTTAAGTTCAGTTTTTTGAAAATTTCTCAACAATATCAGGGGATTCCATCTGCATACATATTAATTCTTAAACAATAATCAAACCAGTAAAAACTACAGAAAAGGCACATAAAACAACTCAAACTCATAAAAGCGATTGTAAATACCCTCGTTGGTGATAAGGCTACTCGCCGGCTAACTTGAGTGAACAATAAAAGCCACCGATGTTATGAAAAACTGCATCACAATCCAATCAGTCCGTTAAAAGCGAATAACAAGATATAGAAAAATATATTTAAAAAGTAATTAGTGAAAGAAAAATAATGAATTTTAAATTGTATACTTTCCTGGCAATCACCTTGACCATTTTGGTCTGCGTCGCCGCGGCACCAGGACGCCACACGAATCCGCCCACTCTGCGTCCACAACCACCACCTCGGCCAATACGTATACGGCGTGGTGTAGCTACCGCTGGCAGTGTTGCCACAAATGCCAATGGTGGACACGATGTTATACTGGAGGCTGCTAAAGGTATCGGTACCTCAAATGCTAATGTGATTGCTAGCGTGAGTGCGGCGGGAAACATCAAAGGAGGACCGGTCACCACTAGCGGCAGTCTGGCGGCAAATATGTAAATAATCATCTATATTTATTCGTATTTATCTCTAAAGCATGATTTTTCTTATAGGCACGGACTCAGCGCTTCCATCAGCAAGGAGCATACACCCGGTTATGGTACCACGCTCACCAAGAGTGCGAGCGCCAGTGTCCTCTTAAATGAAAACAATCGTTTGGATGGGTCGGCTTTCAAGTCGAACTCCAAATTGGCGAATGGCTTTGGATTTGAGAAGAATGGTGGTTCGTTGGCTTTGAGCAATGCTGCTGGTCATGGTATATCTATTGCCAAAGAGACCATACCCGGTTTCAGTAACTCACTAACAAAGTCTGCACATGCCACACTCTTTAATAATGGTCAACACAGCGTGGGCGCCAGCGTGTTTGATGCAAAGAAGTCTTTCGATTTTGGCCCTACCATCCGTGAAACTGGTGGCAATCTTAATTGGGCGCATGCAGGTGGGCACGCTGCTAATTTGGGTCTATCCAAAGTGCATGATATGGGTACGAAATTTAATTATGGTGCAAGTTCTAATCTCTTTACCTCAGCCGATCGTCAAACGAGATTAGACTTCAATGCTGGAGGTTCACGTTGGTTGAATGGTCCACTAAGTGGCCGAAATGACTTCAACACCGGTTTCGGACTTTCGCATAGTTTCCCTAACTGGGGTTAAATGTTTCCATGGCGACATATTAGGAATATGCAATTTATAATACACTGTATATTTGGGAAAAGTACTTAAATAAATATGTTTTAATCGCAAATTCAAAATATCCGTTGCAGTTACTGGGATCAAATTGAAATATGATTTTTTAATTTATATTTCGCTTGTGAATAAATAATTGTTTCAGGGACATTTAATATTTTATCTGATATCACATGGAAGGGCTTCATACGAGTTAGTATAAAACTTGGACAACGTCACTGCGCACATTTAGGTGAATTCTTATATATTAGCAACGAATAAACCAATTTCAACCAAATATCATGCATACATTTATTTCAATATTAGCCGTGTTTTATTTGACCATCACAAGCTAATAGCTAAATCACACATAAAACGCACTTAGCTTATTTTATATATTCGTTTAAAAATGAATTGTGTTGGAAAAACGGACAAGAAAAATCAGCTGATATACAATTTAGTTCGAAATTTCAAATTTGTAAACGAAATATTAATCTATATAAAAAAAAATGAATTGTTGTTCGTTAGTCTGATTAAAACTCGAGAACGGCTGGGCCGATAGAGCTGATTTTGGTTTTAAAAGGTTTGTCGTAGTCCAGAGTAGGTCTAAACGGTGAGCAAATAAGGAAAAATTGCGAGTAAGATAGAGTAAGGCGACAATTCAATTCATTTGCTCACCGCGTATTTAAATTTCAAAATATAAAAATAATTAATGCAGTGTCATTGTTGATGGGTTCCAACCTGACAGTGTTACCAACTCTCAAAACTTTTTTATTATAACAACGGGGCATCTCGACAGAATATAATTTATAGAATACTAACTGCATTGCCGTGCCCATTGCCTGTGGAGACTCCACATTGCTCATTGCTTACTAAATACATACTACAATACATAGTTTGCCATATATCGTAAGCTAGAAGCTGTCACTTCAGCACTTTAACAGCACAGTTTCATTTCGGTAATATGTATGAACATTAGAAGAGCGAGTTAAGACGGTATTGTATTATAAAAATAAAGTACATTTTCAAAACAACATTTTTTTTAAATTAATATTTAGTTTAATATTGTTAAGTTATAGAAAAATTATGCAAATTGGGTTGGGAAGTCTTAAATTTAATAAACTTATACAAGCATAAATCAAAATATCATTTCTCATTTTAAATTTATTATTTTAATTGGTATATAACAGTTACGCCACAATTATTACATAGTAGTCTAAAAATATGAATTCTTATTTTTTCCCAGAAATACATTTGTAAACAAAAGGGCATTTACCCTTTTTTATGTTCCATACAAAAGATTTAAGGAGTTCAAGAGCTCAAAACGTGCTCTACATCAGCTACCTAGCCGACGGTATTTCGCATATATAAAAATGAATCGCAAAATGTGTTGCTAAGCGGATAACACAACAACGCCTGGACCAATTTGGCGAATTCCTTTTTTTAAATGTTCGTTTAAGTCCAAGGATGGCTTTTAGGGCAAGAAAAATTCAAATAATTTCCGGAAAACCCTTAAAAACAGCTATTTTATTTTTCCCATACACTGGAATGAATGTTTGTTTGTTGGTAACGCTAAGAGAACGGCTGCACCAATCCTGATGAAAGGATGATCGAGGAAGGTTTAGAAATAAAAATAATTTATACTTTTTATGAGGAAAAGTCGGGATTAAATAATTCTAAAAATTAAATTTTTTTCATATAAATTTTTTTCAATTTTTGCTTGTTTTGTTTTTCATTATTTTGAATTCCGGCTATTCAAAAGAAAAATTATTGAAAATTATTCAGTGAAAACTTTACATATGTGTTTCGCACAAAGAGATCAATTGCAGATTAAAATTTGTTACGAATCTACGAAGAGGTCGCCCTAATATCGGTCGGCTTTCTTTTTGCCAGCAACGTATGGCAGCCCACGGCAAGGCAATAAGTACTCCCAGGATGCGGTAAGATACGTGCGGAATTGTGGAACGCAGTCAATCAGCAAGCGATCGCCACGATGTCACAGCACAACTTTTCAAACAACAGTTACCATGCTTGATGGATTTATGTGGTGCTGTTAGATGCTAGATGTGCTCTGTTGAGTGGCAAAAGAGAGATTTGCCACACGYACACATTCTTCTTTGGATGGTGGCTAAACCAGATCAAATTGATGGAATCATTTCTGCGGAAATTCCTGATGCAGAGAAAGATCCAGTATTATTCGAAGTACCGAAAGCCAATGTGGTTCATGGACCTTGAGGACACTACAATCCCACTTCGGTTTGTATGCACGAAACACTATCCACGTACTTTTCTTTCGAAAACACAAACCAGAAATAATGGATATCCACTGTATCGGCGTCGCTCATCAAACGACAATGGAAGAACATTCAGCATTCAATTTAGAAGAGTGAATATCGAAGTTGACAGCACATGGGTCATACTATATTCACTATTATTGTCTAATTCACATTCAAAACTCATGTCAGTTTTGAGTATTGCAATTTGGTGTAATCGATAAAATAAGTTTGTAAGTACGTCACCAAAAGTTATTGGTCTTGAACTGCAATAAAGCGCTTTGTAGGATATTTACGTTTGCAATTCAAGAACATTTTCCAACTGTTGTGCGTGTCGCAGTTAATTTGGAGAATGCCTAAAGACTGTATTTCAACCCAGAGAACACAGTACAGCCAGTGGAAACACCGCCAGCAACAAAATTAACATTTACGAGTTGTTTCTCGACTTTCGTCAGTGATCCGTTTGCGAGAATATTGTTCTATT